TAACATTCTTATTCACCAATATAACACAGTTATACAAACCTATTAGACAGTTATTCAACCATACAAGACAGTTATTCAATCACACAAGACAGTTATTCAATCATACAAGACAGTTATTCAATCATATAAGAAAGTTATTCAACCACATAACACAGTTATTCAACCATAAAACACAGTTATTCAACTAAATAAGACAGTTATTCAACTATATAAGACAGTTATTCAACCATATAAGACAGTTATTCAACCATATAAGACAGTTATTCAGCCATATAATACAGTTATTTAACTATATAAGACAGTTATTCAACTATATAACACAGTTATTCAACCATATAAGACAGTTATTCAACCATATAATACAGTTATTTAACTATATAAGACAGTTATTCAGCCATATAAGACAGTTATTCAACCATATAATACAGTTATTTAACTATATAACACAGTTATTCAACCATATATCACAGTTATTCAACCATATAAGACAGTTATTCAGCCATATAATACAGTTATTTAACTATATAAGACAGTTATTCAGCCATATTACACAGTTATAATCCAACCATATAATTCAGTTATATCAAGACCCCAAATGGTTGTGAAGTCAGCACTAGTCTAGTGTGGGTGGTAACTGATAAAATATCCATACACAGTTAAATCAGGGTGCCTAATGGTTGTGAAGTCAGCACTAGTCTAGTGTGGGTAGTAATTAATAAAATACCCGTTACAGTATTTTCAATTTCCCTGTCGATTAGAGAAGTCTTGTGGCCATATTGTTTTAAATTTGGCAATATTTTTTCTAAAATCTTATTCTCTCTTTCTGTCTTCATTGTCATCGTGTAACAGGTCCTGTTTTTGAAATGTAGCTCCTATCATCGTCAACTGTGAAGTTTAGCATTACAGGTCTAAGGGGTAGTAAAGAGAGACATAATATCAGTGCAACATGCGTTAATTGGACTTCTAGGTAGGAACCTATGAACATATGATACCTTCCTTGAGACTCAAAGAGTTAAGAATAGAATGTCTTCTCTTTGAACATGATATATAAGAATGTCTTCTCTTTGAACATGATATTAAAGCTTTCTGGGTCCATGGTATTGACAAATTTCTGTTCTGTAAATGACAGATTGGTCCATGATACACATCATGTGGTATTGTCACTGGTAAAAGTGCATTCTCACTTTAATTTGTTTTCTGGTGTTGTGCCATGGAGTTTTCATTCAGTTAAGCTCAGCATTGTTATAGCAAGCCTCCTTCTGACTAATAAATGTTGCTTAGATCCTCAGTAATGTAACTTAATCTTTGATATGTCTTTAGCTCATGTTCAGACAATGTTGCATAGATCTTCAATAATGTAACTATATTTTTCCCATGTCTTCAGCTCATGTTCAGACAACGTTACATAGATCTTCAATAATGTAACTATATTTTTCCCATGTCTTCAGCTCATGTTCAGACAACGTTACATAGATCTTCAGTAATGTAACTATATTTTTCCCATGTCTTTAGCTCATGTTCAGACACTGCTATGTGTGTCAAAAACTCATCCTGCGTCAGCGGATCATGTCAGTGTTTGCCCACTCACTTTGTCCAATCTGAAGAATGCGTTCCCAGAATTCCTGTTCCTGGGGCTTGCACAGAAAGTGGTATGTGCACTGGCAATGCTGAGTGTGTCCAAGGAACTTGTCAATGCTTGCCAGGTAAGTTTAACCTCTTGTTTGAATGGCCTAAACTGAAAAAGTTTTTAAATAAGAAATATTATACAGGTTATTTGGTTTTTATGCTATCGTCCTACGTCAGACTTCCTTTAACATCCTATGTTCGCTTTCTGTTCACATCCGATGTCCCATCTCCCGTGGGTTTTTGTTGCATCTTAACAACTCACACTAGGCCATGCAGAAGTCGTGGACCCTCAAGCGAGGTGTTCCATTCCGCCACGGTTTATGACTGTCTCGGGCTGCACTGTAGTTTCCATCTTTCATCCTGGTACATGCACAGGCGGTCATGATTTCCTCCTGCTGGGATGCAGGTCACATTTCCGTCAGGCATGTACTAATAATACCCCGTCTCTGTGGTATACGCCACCCCATGACTGTACAAACAGGACTCTGACACTAATAATGCCCCGTCTCTGTGCTATACGCCATCCCATGACTGTACAAACACGACTCTGACACTAATAATGCCCCGTCTCTGTGCTATACGCCATCCCATGACTGTACAAACACGACTCTGACACTAATAATGCCCCGTCTCTGTGCTATACGCCATACCATGACTGTACAAACATGACTCTGACACTAATAATGCCCCGTCTCTGTGGTATACGCCATACCATGACTGTACAAACATGACTCTGACACTAATAATACCCCGTCTCTGTGGTATACGCCATCCCATGACTGTACAAACAGGACTCTGACACTAATAATACCCCGTCTCTGTGGTATACGCCATCCCATGACTGTACAAACAGGACTCTGACACTAATAATACCCCGTCTCTGTGGTATACGCCATCCCATGACTGTACAAACAGGACTCTGACACTAATAATACCCCGTCTCTGTGGTATACGCCATCCCATGACTGTACAAACAGGACTCTTGACACTAATAATACCCCGTCTCTGTGGTATACGCCATCCCATGACTGTACAAACAGGACTCTGACACTAATAATACCCCGTCTCTGTGGTATACGCCATCCCATGACTGTACAAACAGGACTCTGACACTAATAATACCCCGTCTCTGTGGTATACGCCATCCCATGACTGTACAAACAGGACTCTTGACACTAATAATACCCCGTCTCTGTGGTATACGCCATCCCATGACTGTACAAACAGGACTCTGACACTGATAATGCCCCGTCTCTGTGGTATACGCCATCCCATGACTGTACAAACAGGACTCTGACACTGATAATGCCCCGTCTCTGTGGTATACGCCAGCCCATGACTGTACAAACAGGACTCTGACACTAATAATGCCCCGTCTCTGTGGTATACGCCATCCCATGACTGTACAAACAGGACTCTGACACTGATAATGCCCCGTCTCTATGGTATACGCCATCCCATGACTGTACAAACAGGACTCTGACACTAATAATACCCCATCTCTGTGGTATACGCCATCGCATGACTGTACAAACAGGACTCTGACACTAATAATGCCCTGTCTCTGTGGTATACGCCATCCCATGACTGTACAAACAAGACTCTGACACTAATAACCCAATGCTTATGATTACATCTGCCTGTCCCACAGTCATTAATCCTGTCAGCACAGATCTATCTCAGTCTTGGAGTTTATTATTGGTTTTCTCTTCTAGAGCTGTTGTCTTTTATCCCAGAACTACGCAGACTTCACTGACTGGGCCCCTCAATCAGGATGTGCTTTCTGCAAATATCCTTGACTTCTTCATCGTGTTGACTAGCTTTAAAGTCCAGTGGAAAGTTCTGGTTGTTCATCTATTTCTGGACTTCAGTGTGTTTCAGAACTTTTGTTTTGTGTGTACATTTGTTTTATCAGATCTGGCTTTTTGTTTGTGCAGAATGTTGGTTCCTTGCCTCTCAGGCAGATGTACTTTGACTTTGAGTCGCCCAATGAGCCCCATAGCCTACATGAAGAACGCAGATCAGTAATACTTTTCATTCGGGTAATTGTTACATAACAGTCAACTATTTGTTATTATCTGAACTGACTCAGTACATATTGCCAGAAGTCTCCACCAGTAATTGTGTCAGATAGATATGAATCAAATTTCATTTATTTGAAATATTTGTTCCCTAAATTAATAGCTGTTCGGAAATGAATCAATGTAAACAATACAACCGAACATAGGCCTAATGCTTTAAGGAAACATTTCGATGGAATGGTTTCAGATGAGAAATAAGGAGTTGAGAAAAGCAGACCATAGAAAAGGTAAAAAGTTAACTCACAGTGGGCTGCTTTGGTCACTGATGTGCGACTGGGGCCCTTACTGGAAGCAAAGAATAGCAACACTGCATCCTACCAGGCATGTAAGTGGAGACTGAGGGTAGAGTAGTGTTGGTGCTTGGGGTTTGCTATCTCATCATGTAAGTGGAGACTGGGGGTAGAGTAGTGTTGGGCTTGGGGTTTGCTATCTCATCATGTAAGTGGAGACTGGGGGTAGAGTAGTGTTGGGCTTGGGGTTTGCTATCTCATCATGAAAGTGGAGACTGGGGGTAGAGTAGTGTTGGGCTTGGGGTTTGCTATCTCATCATGTAAGTGGAGACTGGGGGTAGAGTAGTGTTGGGCTTGGGGTTTGCTATCTCATCATGTAAGTGGAGACTGGGGGTAGAGTAGTGTTGGGCTTGGGGTTTGCTATCTCATCATGTAAGTGGAGACTAGGGGTAGAGGAAAACAGGTTGGTGGATAGGTCACACATTGAGAAACCTTGATAGAAATATAACTAGAAGGGCTTTAAACTGGAACCCATAAGGGAATAGAAATAAAGAGAAACCACAAAAAACAACCTATGTAAATAAACTCATCTGTCCTGGTTGATTTCCTGTTGCAGGCTACTACACAAAACTAGGAACATGTGTTCCATTGGTCAACGTCACCCAACCTTGTCCAGATGGCAATGGCACGTGTGCGCAACATGCAGAGTGTGTTCAAGGTCGTTGCCTGTGCCAGCCTGGATTCTACACAAAAGACAACTCGTGTTTGCCCTTGATCAGCCCTGAACTTGCATGCTCAGGTCAAGGTCAATGTGTAGAACATGCTGAATGTGTTGGTGGGAAATGCACATGTGGAGCTGGGTTCTTCTCCAAGACTGGACGCTGTCATCAGTTAGTTCCACCCAGTGGATCTTGCGATGTGACCACAGACACTTGTGTGGACCAGGCCACTTGTAAGGGAGGAGTTTGTTTGTGTGATCCAAGTTTTTTCCGCAAAAATGGGACATGTCAGCATGTGATTGAACCAGAACAACCGTGTGATGGACCTGGACAATGTGTAAGGGATGCAAGCTGTGATAATAGTGTCTGCAAATGTGACCCTGATTTCTATAATCAAAATGGTAAATGTGACAGAAAGAAAAATGCCACAGTGGCATGTCAGAATATTGCAGGAGAGTGTGTTGTCAATGCCCAGTGTGTCGCAGGAGTGTGTACCTGCACGGACAACTTTTATACCCTTGATGGCTCTTGCAAGTGAGTGATAATTTGAACCAAAATAATGCCACTTTGGCTTTATGCTGTAATCCTTGTTCCAAATCACATTTTAAAAAAGCCACAGCAGAACAGTGGATAAATGCTTGCCAGCCAGTCAGGCACCGTTTTCAAATCTACATTAGTTGCTTCTTTTTAAACAACCTAAAACTCCCAGATCTGCCCAGTCTGAAGTTGGTTCTAGGGAATGTACTGGGAAGTAAAGGTGGCTAGCATAATGTTGAGCACATCATTCATCAAGTACCTGTTCTATAGAAGTCTAAGTCTAGTTGAGCACATCATTCATCAAGTACCTGTTCTATAGAAGTCTAAGTCTAGTTGAGCACATCATTCATCAAGTACCTGTTCTATAGAAGTCTAAGTCTAGTGAGCACATCATTCATCAAGTACCTGTTCTATAGAAGTCTAAGTCTAGTTGAGCACATCATTCATCAAGTACCTGTTCTATAGAAGTCTAAGTCTAGTGAGCACATCATTCATCAAGTACCTGTTCTATAGAAGTCTAAGTCTAGTTGAGCACATCATTCATCAAGTACCTGTTCTATAGAAGTCTAAGTCTAGTACTATTTGCTGCCCATATGCCATTGGTGTGACACAGTCCTTTAGTTTACCTTTACTTGTAACAGAATCGATTGAAGACGCAGGAAGGACCATACTAAAATAAATTGGCAAAAGGCCATGAACCAAAGATACTGGAATCTGAAGTTGAAAATGCCCTTACACAAAGTAAAAAGAGCAAGGCAGCTGGAATTGATGATGGTATTACAACAGAAATGCTCCTTGCATGTAAGACAACAGCAACAGCTTGGTTTATCAGAATCTTTAACATCGCCTGGGGACTGGCAGAGAGCAATCATTGTCCCCATGTGGAAGAATAAAGAGGACAAACGAGACTGTGAAACAAATGCATCTACATCCTGAGCCATACTGGGAAAATGTTTGCTAACATTTTGCAACAAAGCTCGACCAGTACTAGAGCCCCAGTTAAGTAAGAGACAGCTCGGTTTGAGGAAGGAAAGAACCGTACAGATGCAATATTTTCTTTAAGGCAAATAAGCCAACAGTCTGTTGAATATGATAAAAGTCAACACCTTATGTTTATAGATCAAGAGAAGGTATTTGATGGAGTCAATAGGTGCAAACTATGGACAGTTCTAGAGGATTGTGCTATTCAAGATCAACTGTGGGTAATATCATGGCTCTTTACCAAGATAGTCAGTGCACTGTAAGAACAACAGAAGGAATGACAGGCTGGCTTCCCATCTCATCAGTTCTCAGATCGAGATATGTTCTCTCACCATTGCTATCCATTACTTACATGGATAGAATTACAAAGAAAGTAAATACAGACACTGCAGAAATAAGTGAACTTCTTTTTGCAGACAATTAATGTCTAATACACCATTAATAACATACTTTACAACACTGTGTTGACTGCTGACATCAAACCTGCACAAAACATGTTATGAGAATAAACACTGTGAAAACTGAGCTAATGAGGATTGACAAAAAACATAATATCTTGACGTTTAAGTTAATGGGACTACAATCAAACATTAAGGAAGCATATTTACCATATTCACGGAGGATGGCAGATTCAATAAAAAGATAGAAGCCAGAAGGCAAATGCTTTCACCTACCAGTTAGCACCTCTGCTTAGACATCCAAATGTCTCCCTTCCAGCAAAAGAGCAAATGATCAATAACATTTCTAACTCTACTTGATGCTCTCAGTGCCAAACATGGACACTGAATAGGGCCAAGGAACAGACAAGAACTACATGAGAAATGTAATGTCTCTGTAAGGTCACTAACAACACAAGACGAGACAGGGTTAAGAATGTCAGCATTTGAGAGAAAGTTGGAATAAGACCATGTCTGGATTATATTGATGGACAAAGAATGAAATGGTTCAGCCATCTAGTGAGAATGCAGCCAGACCAAACTGCATAGGAGACTTTTTATAGCAGAACATCTGGGAGGAAGGTGAGAGGAAGACCAAGGAAGAGATGGATAAATGGTGTAGCAGAAACCTGCAAGCAGATAAACAAATCTTTCATCAATTTGAAGAAGTGCCAGATAAATACAGAAAACTATGACACCAGGCTACAACCTGGTATCAGCCAGACAGAAAAAGAACAGAACATTAACAGAATCACACAAAGTGACTAGTTTATCATTTAGAGCCGTCATCTAATAGTGTATATGCTTGAAATTGTGACAGACATAAACTGGCCAAGCATCATTTAGTACACAGCTGTAAAAGTTTCTAAAAACATTTATCACAGAGCTGTAAAATTTGGCCAAGAATTATTTATCATAGCAATGTAAAAGTTGGCCAAGAATCTTTTAGCTCACAGCTGTAGATATTTCTTTAAAATCATAATATCACAGAGCTTTAAAAGTTACCCCAAAAATCATTTATCATACATCTGTAAGAGTTTGCCAAGAATAATTTATCACACAGCTGTAAAAGTTGGCCAAGAATCATTTATCATACATTTGTAAAAGTTGGCCTAGAATCATTTATCTCACAGCTGTAAAAGTTGGCCTAGAATCATTTATCTCACAGCTGTAAAAGTTGGCCAAGAATCATTTATCACACAGCTGTAAAAGTTAGCCTAGAATCATTTATCACACAGCTGTAAAAGTTAGCCTAGAATCATTTATCACACAGCTGTAAAAGTTGGCCTAGAATCATTTATCACACAGCTGTAAAAGTTGGCCTAGAATCATTTATCACACAGCTGTAAAAGTTGGCCTAGAATCATTTATCACACAGCTGTAAAAGTTGGCCTAGAATCATTTATCACACAGCTGTAAAAGTTGGCCTAGAATCATTTATCTCACAGCTGTAAAAGTTGGCCAAGAATCATTTATCTCACAGCTGTAAAAGTTGGCCAAGAATCATTTATCACACAGCTGTAAAAGTTGGCCTAGAATCATTTATCACACAGCTGTAAAAGTTGGCCTAGAATCATTTATCACACAGCTGTAAAAGTTGGCCTAGAATCATTTATCACACAGCTGTAAAAGTTGGCCTAGAATCATTTATCAAACAGCTGTAAAAGTTGGCCTAGAATCATTTATCACACAGCTGTAAAAGTTGGCCTAGAATCATTTGTCACACAGTTGTAAAAGTTGGCCTAGAATCATTTATCACACAGCTGTAAAAGTTGGCCTAGAATCATTTATCACACAGCTGTAAAAGTTGGCCTAGAATCATTTATCACACAGCTGTAAAAGTTGGCCTAGAATCATTTATCACACAGCTGTAAAAGTTGGCCTAGAATCATTTATCTCACAGCTGTAAAAGTTGGCCAAGAATCATTTATCACACAGCTGTAAAAGTTGGCCTAGAATCATTTATCACACAGCTGTAAAAGTTGGCCTAGAATCATTTATCACACAACTGTAAAAGTTGGCCTAGAATCATTTATCACACAGCTGTAAAAGTTGGCCTAGAATCATTTATCACACAGCTGTAAAAGTTGGCCTAGAATCATTTATCAAACAGCTGTAAAAGTTGGCCTAGAATCATTTATCACACAGCTGTAAAAGTTGGCCTAGAATCATTTGTCACACAGTTGTAACAAGGGCCATATTCAGGCATGTGCAAAATGTGAAGCTGCACAGGGAAGTACAATTTTTGGATGGGAAAACAAAAAGTATTAACTTCTTTTTCTTCTTCTTCACTTCTGGACCTTAGTCCTGTTTCAGAACCTGAGTGTTGCATGCACAACCCTTTTACAGATCTGGCAAATGTGTATGCAGACTGTTGTTTCTTTGCCTCTCAGGCTGATGCACTCAAAGAAAACTCTCAATTATTATACTCTTACAACTGCTTTTTTTTTTTTTTGGGTAGGCAGTGGGCCTATTCTTTTTTTTTTCCACAATAGGGCCCCAGAGACGATATGGTAGTAGTAATACTAAAATGGAGGTTTCCATGATATAATTGTTTTAACAGGCTTTTAAACTGTGATGGTTATTTTATCAATATTAACCATTTATTTGTGTCTTCAAAGCTTCCACATGTGGGTTCTGGGGCCTCATCGTGGGGAAAACAAGAATAGACCCACTGCCTCCCCAAAAGCCTGTCGTAAAAGTCGACTAATTGGGGAGCTTCCTTTGAAGTCGGAGTGCATCTGCCTGAGAGGCAAGAAACCAACAGTCTGCATTCAAGTGAATCAGATCTGTTCTTCTTCTTCTTGTGTTCGCTTTCTGATTTACACCGACAGACAGGTTCTTGTGATAAACTTGACTGTTTTTATGAGTTCATTTTTAGTCCCATACAACTTTGTGTACAGTGATGACTCACTGGGCCAGTATTCCTTTCTTAATGGGCTGAACAAGGGACAGTCTTGCAGGACATGTTCTGTAGTCTGCACACATAGCCCACAAGGACAAAAGGTGAACTACTTAGACGAAGCCTGTGCATATGCTGGTTAAGTTTGTTATGTCCTGTCCTGAGACATAGGACAATGACCTGCCCATGCCGGTCAAGTAAGTGGTAGTCATCTTTGGCCAGATTCTGTTCACTTCTAATAGCCTGGATGGCCCTTTTTTTCTCATAGTAAATCAGATCTGTAAAACTGATGCACACACAACACTTAGGTTCTGGAGCAGTTCAGAAGTGGACGAACAACCAGAACTTTCCACCAGAGTGTACAGCTGGTGAACGCGAAGAAGAAGAAGAAGAGTGTCTTCAAAATAATTTGCACATTTTCAACCTGCATATTTGTTTTATCTGCTGTGTAATCAGCAAAGTCTAAATACCTCAATGCAGTATCAAATGTAAGTGAATAGTTCAACAACCTTTCGTTGGTAGTCTGTGAATGACTAGTGGTACTGAAGTTTGGCCAAGGGAAGAAGAGGCAGAACATGAATGACCACACCAGTTTCAGGGGGGGTGGGGTGGGGGGGGGGGGGGGGGGGGTTTAGGTGACAAATTCATACAGAATTGAAATATTCCTAATTGCCAACTACGAACTGAGAAAAGAAGATAGTATTTGTTTCAAACTTTTTTTACTCTTTGGATGATTTGGTCACTGAATTTATTCAGAAATCAAATACTATTTTTAGGCTTCCTTGATTCACCCAGTCCACTCGGATTTATTGGGATGTTGCTGAAGAATTACAAAAACATAAAAATCCTGTTTGATCTTTTGGGGTTATGATTTGGATATTTAGTAGGTTTTTTGTTTTCATAAAGTAAAAGTTATTTCCTTAATCGTAGACTTAGTCTTAGTCGATGTTTCAACTTCACTGCAAGTTTTTCCTGAAACCACAAATCCGCATGTTTCTACTCTCCACTCCCATATGTTACTTCTCTGACTGGAAAGGTTGTCCAAAAATGCAACTGAGCCGTGTGATGACCTTCCTGGTGAATGCACAAAAAATGCAGTCTGCTCTGGAAAATTATGTACATGTATGACTAAGCACTACAACCGAAAGGGTCAGTGTGAAGCAGTACTGCCAGTGAACGGGACATGTGAGAACATCCCTGGAGAATGTCTGTCAAATGCTGAGTGTAGTAATGGCACTTGCCAGTGTGGCAGTGGATACTACCACAAGAATGGAACTTGCCAGGTTAGTATGTTTTCATGATAAATTCTGATATGCTCGTTTGTGTTAATTGCATTCCTAACTCGTTGAGTCCCATAATTTTTCACAGCAGTTGCTTAAGGAGAGAATAACCACTATGAAAAAAAATTAGGAGTCTAATAGTTTTAAAGAGGCAACTACTCAGAAAGCATGCTGAGGAAGATCAGAACAGGCATGCTCCGTGCAGAGTGACATGCCTCACTGCGGAGGACACGGGTGAGCAGTATTGTCTGGATTTTTTCACCAGAATGCCAGTGTGTTGGGAAATGAACAGGCAGATAGACTGGCTGGCTCTGCACAACTTGGTGAAATACTGATGCAAGATAAGGCGAATGTGGTTAGTGCCTTGTGGGAGAGCGTGTACAGTTCCGAGGAGTTGATGGATCACCACAGTCTGGTAAGATTGATGCAGGGGGGGGGGGGGAGTGACGAGAGGTTCTGGCAGATGCTCGAGACTCAGAGGAAAGACAAGATGGACGTTTAATCAGAATGCTTCTGGCACCATTAGTATCGTAACTCTTCGCTGGCTGCTGAATATTGGGACAGGGTGCTTATGGGAATGCCCTGAGTGCTGTGATGTCGGTTCTTGAATCAAATCAAATGAAATTAAAGTGGCAAATGAAAATGCCAGATTACTTTAGCATTATACGACCTAATGTAATAACAGAACATATTGCATAATGTCTGGGATTCATGAGAATGAGTTTATCAAACATAATGCACTCCTTGGGACCACAAGAGTTAATCAAAATAAATAAAATAACAAGGGAATATTGCAAAATCTGTATTAAAAACATTTTTAAATATTTCCATGATCATTGAAACTGTCAAATGTTTCTGTCTGATTTGAAGAGGTGCTGAACCACATGTGTTGGAGCGTCACGAGCAGGGACCAAAGTGTCCAGTCCTGTCTACTCCTCTCCATAGTTGTCCTAGAAACAGTCTCACACCCAGGCACCTGGCCACAGTAGATAGTGTTGACATTTCCTTCACAACTGGAGTGAATCTGCTTGAATGGCGGGGAATCCACAGTCTGTACACAAATAAACTTGATCGGTAAGAAGGCTGTACACGCAACACTTGGATTGTGGAACAAGACCATAGTTCCCAAATGGATATACAACCAGATCTTTCCGCTGGAGTTTACAGCCTGCAAATTCAAAGAAGAAAAAACGCTTCTGTTCCATTTCATTATGGCTTCAAAAATGTTAAAATATGGCATATATACATGCATATACATACATAAGGTTAGTTGCGTATCCTTTAAAGGACGTTGCAGAACCAACCCCAACAGCCCATGACTGTTGTGTGGTTTTTCTAGGCAAATTTACATCCAGTAGTTTGCCATTGCTTGCTGGATGGTCGGCTTTCTTTATACTACTGTCAAAACCAACGCAAGGCGTATGGCCCGAAGTTAGGATCAAACCCGGCATCCGGCATTAGGAAGCATTCTCATCGACTTAGCCCCAGAGCCGACATACATGCATAAACTGCATGTAATATGGCAGTATGGCTGATCTAGAGCATAAACTGCATGTAATATGGCAGTATGGCTGATCTAGAGCATAAACTGCATATAATATGACAGTATGACATATCAAAAGTATAAACTGCATGTAATATGGCAGTATGGCATATCAAGAGCATAAACTGCATGTAATATGGCAATATGGCATATCAAGAGCATAAACTGCACGTAATATGGCAGTATGGCATATCAAGAGCATAAACTGCATGTAATATGGCAGTATGGCATATCAAGAGCATAAACTGCATGTAATATGGCAGTATGGCATATCAAGAGCATAAACTGCATGTAATATGGCAGTATGGCATATCAAGAGCATAAACTGCATGTAATAAGGCAATATGACATATCAAGAGCATAAACTGCATGTAATATGGCAATATGGCATATCAAGAGCATAAACTGCATGTAATATGGCAGTATGGCATATGAAGAGCATAAACTGCATGTAATATGGCAGTATGGCATATCAAGAGCATAAACTGCATGTAATATGGCAGTATGGCATATCAAGAGCATAAACTGCATGTAATATGGCAATATGGCATATCAAGAGCATAAATTGCATGTAATATGGCAGTATGGCATATCAAGAGCATAAACTGCATGTAATATGGCAATATGGCATATCAAGAGCATAAACTGCATGTAATATGGCAGTATGGCATATCAAGAGCATAAACTGCATGTAATAAGGCAATATGACATATCAAGAGCATAAACTGCATGTAATATGGCAATATGGCATATCAAGAGCATAAACTGCATGTAATATGGCAGTATGGCATATGAAGAGCATAAACTGCATGTAATATGGCAGTATGGGATATGAAGAGCATAAACTGCATGTAATATGGCAGTATGGGATATGAAGAGCATAAACTGCATGTAATATGGCAATATGGCATATCAAGAGCATAAACTGCATGTAATATGGCAATATGGCATATCAAGAGCATAAACTGCACGTAATATGGCAATATGGCATATCAAGAGCATAAACTGCACGTAATATGGCAATATGGCATATCAAGAGCATAAACTGCATGTAATATGGCAATATGGCATATCAAGAGCATAAACTGCATGTAATATGGCAATATGGCATATCAAGAGCATAAACTGCATGTAATATGGCAATATGGCATATCAAGAGCATAAACTGCATGTAATATGGCGATATGGCATATCAAGAGCATAAACTGCATGTAATATGGCAATATGGCATATGAAGAGCATAAACTGCATGTAATATGGCAATGTGGCATATCAAGAGCATAAACTGCACGTAATAAGGCAATATGACATATCAAGAGCATAAACTGCATGTAATAAGGCAATATGACATATCAATAGCATAAACTGCACGTAATATGGCAGTATGACATATCAAGAGCATAAACTGCATGTAATATGGCAATATGGCATATCAAGAGCATAAACTGCATGTAATATGGCAATGTGGCATATCAAGAGCATAAACTGCACGTAATAAGGCAATATGACATATCAAGAACATAAACTGCATGTAATAAGGCAATATGACATATCAATAGCATAAACTGCATGTAATATGGCATATCAAGAGCATAAACTGCATGTAATATGGCAATATGGCCCCAAAAAAACTAAAAACTAAATAGTGCATTATAAGTCAAGGACAGTGGCCAGATACAATCATAAAATGTTTGCTTGCAGTTAGATTAGATTGAACCATAATATATTTTCTGTAACAAAATTCACATGTAGAATACAATGATTTCTTGTTGCTAACAATGTTGCTAACATTTAGTTTATGGAAATAAATAAATGAATTGTTTACAAATTGAAATGTCTTCTTAGTCTTCTCAGTATCATTAATCTTCTCAGTATCATTAATCTTCTCAGTATCATTAATCTTCTCAGTATCATTAATCTTCTCAGTATCATTAATCTTCTCAGTATCATTAATCTTCTCAGTATCATTAATCTTCTCAGTATCATTAATCTTCTCAGTATTCTCGATAGAGTCCAGCATCTTACACTTCCCTCATCTGTGTTCAACTTATAGTTTCTCTTGGAAAAATACTGGTTGCCTATGTCTTTTGTTTCTCATTTTAGTATGTTTTTTTTTTTTTTATTTTATTCTTAAATTATTGTTTTATTTAAAATTCTCTGCCTCTTTAGGTTGTGTCCATTTTTATTTTTCTACTCGTTGTTGACACATGCAGTCGTTCAGACGTTTCTCCTGTACACAGGCGTCAGGGCCAGATTTTCAGTGAAAGTGCAGGGCCAAATTTGTACCGTGTCCAGAAATGAGAAGAGAAGCACTGTTTATTGAAGGAATGAGGACATCTAAGAAAAGACCTTAAATAATTATGAGAAACCCCAAGATGCAGGACTGGAATCTATCTATGCAAGCAAAGGGATCGTACAGGGTAGAATGGAGTGTAGGAATACAAATAGATTGTTAGCCTTGTGTGACACAGTGGCACAACACGACAATGATTATGATGTGCAGTAACAGGGATTCTTCATAAAAACCACTGTTTCAATCCAGACATTGTACGTTTGCAGGAGCTGCTCAATACAACTCAGCTGTGTGACTTCACACCTGGGGAGTGTGTCCCACATGCAGTTTGTGAGGGTAAAAGCCAGAGGTGTGTCTGCAAGGCGGGTTACTACAGTAGAGGAAATCTCTGTCGGGAGTTGATTAATGCTACCAGTCCATGTGACGGGTTACCTGGCGAATGTGTCAGCTCTTCTAGTTGTACAGGAGAGGTAAGTCACTGATGTCGGATCTGTCTTAGGCTAATGTTTCTTAGGTTTGATGTGTGGCTGTTAATGTTTGGACATAACTGATGTTCAGTTATTTGATATTTTCTAATAAACAATAGACTCTAATATATTGTAAATAGCTGGAAAATACTGAGAGAGTTTCAGATGACAGAGAGGTAATATCTATACATACAAGTAAGGTGAATGGTCATAGACCATGAGGCAGACCAAGAAGATTTTGGAGGGACAATATCCTGACACAGCTACAAACCCTTGATGTCACCAACTGGGAAAAGAAGGCCAACCAGAGAGATGAATGGATGCAGGTTCATTCTGCAGAATGAACCTGCAGAATGAACCTTAAGAGCTTATTGTAGTTGTTGTTGTTCAAGCAGTCAGTCAGATGCCATCTCAACAAAGAAGGTTGGTGGCAGTGGAATTTCATCATTGTCTGTCTAATGCTATCACAATAGACATCACTGCACATTAGGCATTCTGATCTGTGCTATTCTTTAAAAAACAAACAAACACACACTCACACACAAAAGTGGTACCTATTGCGGGATTTATATATAATTTTTTTTTTTTTTTTGGGGGGGGGGGGGGGGGGGGAGGGGGAGGGGAGGGGGTCAACACACAAACACACATCTTATTGTGTTAACATATTTTGGCCATTGTGTCAACACCCCCCCCCCCCCACCACATATACACACTCACACACACACTCGCACAGACATTTTGTTAAAAACATATATTTTGCCACTTTGCCACACACCCTCTCTCCTTAACACACATACACACACACACACGTACACACATTATTTTGTCACCCCCTCTCCTGTCAGTGTTGATATCTGGTGCGGCCGGTACCTGTCTACTGTTTGATTCCCTTGTCTTGGTTGTAATGTCTGTGACTGCTGTTCGTCCATCTTTTGATGTTGTCTTCCCACTTGTAACATTTTCTAGCTCTTGCCATCTTGCTATATTGTCCCTTCTGGTAAGGTTTTTAAAGGAGCATTAAGTCTTTTAATGTGACAAAAATATGTCGGTTATTTTTTTTTTTTTTTTTAATTCTCAGTCTTTCTAAAACCTCTGCATTTGACTGGTTTTGTTTTTATGAAATACGACTTGTACTTGTGTTGTGTGTCCACATTTCTAGGGACTCAGTTCAATTTTCTTGTTGTTTATTCATTATCCAAGTTTATGCACTGTACAGCAGGGTTGTGTATACATAACATTTGACGATTCTCATTTTTAATTAGTGCTTTTGTATCTGTTAATCATAAATCTCTGTTACTGAGGTCGGGGGTTTCCTATATTTCAGTCTTTAGGGACCCGAACTTGTACTTGTTTGAGAGGTTTCTATGCCAACCAAGGCATGTGTGAGCCCCAGCGGAATGTCTCTGAAGTCTGCGACAATGTACCTGGCCAGTGTGTTCCTGGGGCAGCCTGTGTCAACCTGACCTGTCAGTGTACAGCTGGCTACTACAGGAAAACTGACCAATGCTTTCCACACATCAACGCTTCATGTGAGTAACCTTGGTACTTTCCTAATATTCATCCTTCAGGTGAATAACTCTGGTGCTTTCTTAGCACTGTCACCCCAGGTGTACCATTTGTATAGCTTTTACAGCATTTTTATGTCTTTGCAGTGTCTATTGCTCCTATAAAGTAGTTTTGATACTTGTTGCAACTGCATCGTGTGTGTGTGTGTATATATGGTGGTTTTTGTCTACTTTTAGCAAAAGAAATATTTAAGATTTTTTTTTTTTTATGGTGAGACAAAATTCACTTTTTTTTTAAATTTTGGAATGACTGTGATACCATATTAACCTGATCACAATATCGCTTTGTTCTACCTGGCTATATGAACACAATTTTGTTGTTGTTGTTGTTTATTGTCAAAGAAAAGAAAGCAATTAATTCTTTGCTCTTTTCATATTGAATGATTACTTCCCTTCACATACCCACACACACAATTTTTTTTTTTTTTTGCAATATAGAGACTAATGTGAGTGAAATAAAATAAAGAGAATTTTTTTAAGCAACGTAATGGCGGCGGTGAAGCAGTGAACTTCATGCTGGCCTATCTGCTCTATGATGAAGCAGTGAACTTCATGTTGACTTATCTGCTCTGTGATGAAGCAGTGAACTTCATGTTGACTTATCTGCTCTATGATGAAGCAGTGAACTTCATGTTGACTTATCTGCTCTATGATGAAGCAGTGAACTTCATGTTGTCTTATCTGCTCTGTGATGAAGCAGTGAACTTCATGTTGACTTATCTGCTCTATGATGAAGCAGTGAACTTCATGTTGACTTATCTGCTCTATGATGAAGCAGTGAACTTCATGTTGTCTTATCTGCTCTGTGATGAAGCAGTGAACTTCATGTTGACTTATCTGCTCTGTGATGAAGCAGTGAACTTCATGTTGTCTTATCTGCTCTGTGATGAAGCAGTGAACTTCATGTTGACTTATCTGCTCTGTGATGAAGCAGTGAACTTCATGTTGACTTATCTGCTCTATGATGAAGCAGTGAACTTCATGTTGACTTATCTGCTCTATGATGAAGCAGTGAACTTCATGTTGACTTATCTGCTCTATGATGAAGCATTGAACTTCATGTTGGCCTACCTGCTCTGTGATGAAGCAGTGAACTTCATGTTGACTTATCTGCTCTATGATGAAGCAGTGAACTTCATGTTGACTTATCTGCACTGTGATGAAGCAGTGAACTTCATGTTGACTTATTTGCTCTATGATGAAGCATTGAACTTCATGTTGGCCTACCTGCTCTGTGATGAAGCAGTGAACTTCATGTTGACTTATCTGCTCTATGATGAAGCAGTGAACTTCATGTTGACTTATCTGCTCTGTGATGAAGCAGTGAACTTCATGTTGTCTTATCTGCTCTATGATGAAGCAGTGAACTTCATGTTGACTTATCTGCTCTATGATGAAGCAGTGAACTTCATGTTGACTTATCTGCTCTATGATGAAGCAGTGAACTTCATGTTGACTTATCTGCTCTGTGATGAAGCAGTGAACTTCATGTTGCCCAATCTGCTCTGTGGTCTATGGGCTTGGCTTCTTGGATTTTCATGAAGACATAAGAATGGCAAAGACGTCCATATTTCTTCTGCATCTTCACTTACTCGACTGTCTTAAGGTAGCCTTTCAGGGAATTATCAGGAATTTTGTTTTTAAAAAAAATTTGAAAAGAGTATATGTTTTAAAGATTCTTACTAGAGAAAGTGTTGTCTTTGAGGTGAGCAGCTCTGAGTATTCCAAACATGAAACCAAGTGTCTTGAGATCAGCAGCTATCATCTCTCCATCTTTTTTACCCCACCAGGAAGGACATCACACAAGCGATAAACACCTGATGACACATAGTTCTAACATGTGGATGAGGATCACCTGTGGAGAGGTCCCTGAAACCGCGTTCAGCCATTAGACCATATTAAAAAACTTATTTGTATGCAGACTGTTGGTTCCTTCTCTCTCAGGCAGATGCACTCTGACTTCAAAAGTAGCCCCAAATTAGTAGATTCTTTTAACATACTTATTCTTGTTTTCCCCCATAAGGAGGATCCAGAACCCATTCTAGGAACATGGGAATTCAAAATCGTGATCACTGGACCAGCACGCAGACAAGCCAACATAGAAAATAGCATGCACAAACTGATTGTCTGACTCAGATCTGGAGCCTATGTTGCATTTTCTGTCCAGAATATTTGCATGTGTGGGCTAATGAGAAAGCTGATAAAGTGTCTGCTGCCACTCTTCTGAGCAGTGAGCTACTTAATGATAAACAGACACGGTGAAAGCTCTGTATTCAGTTGGTGGCCCATGGGTCACATTTGGCCGGTGGAGGCCTAGCAAGTGGCCCACGAATCATTGCCAGTTGTATCATATTAATGATCTTCTTTTGTTGTGGCTCCGGCTTCTGGCTTTGAGTAAATTTAGTTGATAATCCTGCTCTCTGGAATACAGAGGACACTGCAACAGAACAGAAAGAGGATCCATACCTCAAAAGAATGAAAGAATGATTCAGCATATGTAAGTGGAGGGTCTGGGTGATAATCTTTGCTGAGGAAAAAATTCAGGTGGACTTTTAACTCTTTGAGTCCCAAAAAAACGCATCATACGTTTATAGGTCCTTACCTAGAAACCCAATGAAAACGCATGATGCGCCGATTTATTACGTTCTTTACTACCCCCTGGGTCTGTGATGCTAAACCCCCTGGGTCCGTGATGCTAAACCCCCTGGGCCTGTGATGCTAAACCCCCTGGGTCTGTGATGCTAAACCCCCTGGGCCTGTGATGCTAAACCCCCTGGGCCTGTGATGCTAAACCCCCTAGGACTGTGATGCTAAACCCCCTGGGTCTGTGATGCTAAACCCCCAGTGCCTGTGATGCTAAACCCCCTGGGCCTGTGATGCTAAACCCCCTGGGTCTGTGATGCTAAACCCCCTGGGTCTGTGATGCTAAACCCCCTTGGTCTGTGATGCTAAACCCCCTGGGCCTGTGATGCTAAACCCCCTGGGCCTGTGATGCTAAACCCCCCGGGCCTGTGATGCTAAACCCCCCGGGCCTGTGATGCTAAACCCCCCGGGACTGTGATGCTAAACCCCCTGGGCCTGTGATGCTAAACCCCCCGGGCCAGTGATGCTAAACCCCCCGGGACTGTGATGCTAAACCCCCTGGGCCTGTGATGCTAAACCCCCTGGGCCTGTGATGCTAAACCCCCTGGGTCTGTGATGCTAAACCCCCTGGGCCTGTGATGCTAAACCCCCTGGGCCTGTGATGCTAAACCCCCTGGGCCTGTGATGCTAAACCCCCTGGGTCTGTGATGCTAAACCCCCTGGGTCTGTGATGCTAAACCCCCTGGGTCTGTGATGCTAAACCCCCTGTGCCTGTGATGCTAAACCCCCCGGGCCTGTGATGCTAAACCCCCTGTGCCTGTGATGCTAAACCCCCTGGGTCTGTGATGCTAAACCCCCTGGGACTCAAAGAGTTAATAAAGTTGCAGCTGGCACTGTTAGCATAGGAACTCTTTGTGGGTTAAGAAGGAAGGAGACTGAGCATGTGGGGGAATGTCCAGAGTGAACTGATGTCTGTTCTTGATTTATTCTTTTATTTGATTTTGCTGACAGTGCCCTGTGAGAACATACCCGGAGAATGTGTGACCCATGCTGCCTGTGTGTTGGGGAAATGTACCTGTGATTCTAGCTACTTTGATAAGAGCGGACAATGTGAGAAGAAGATCAATGCCACAGAACAGTGTGCAGGCACCCTTGCTGAGTGCGTGGACTTTGCTGCGTGTGTCAGTGGCAGATGTCGCTGTCAGCAAGGCTACTATGCCAGACAAGAAATGTGTCAGCCGCTGATTCCAGCTACAGGTCAATGTGAGAATCTAGAAGGTGAGATTCTTATCCCACTCTTCCTCTTTTTATTCTCTTTCTCTTTCATCTTCATTTTCTACTGCGAATTCTTCTTTCTTCTACTACTTCTTTTTCTTTTACTTATCACACTTTCGGAGTCAGTCTGAAAATATTAAAATAAAACAAAATGTTAGTTGTGTATTCTTTAGAGGACGTTGCAGAATTAATCCAGGCTATTTTTGACTGCTTGTGATTTCACTAGACAATTTAATTTCAGTAGTTTGCCATTGCTTCTGAATAGTTGACTCTTAATACCTTTGCTGAAACCAAATTGGTTGCCGAATTGCCTGCAGCTGGGATCAAACCTGGCACCTCTAAATTACAAACTGTGATTAGAGCCACAAATGTCACTGTTTAAAAAAGCAATGGCTATTTTTAAGTTTATTTACATCTCCATAGAACATCCTTAACTCCATAAGTCCCAGCGAGTTTAGCATCAGAGGCCCAAGGGGTGGTCATGCAGTTTGTTTAAATTTCACAAGTGTAACACATTAAATAGACCATACTAATTCAAATGCCTTGCAACATACACATATTATACATCAAAGTGATCAGGGATTGTTGAGGAATAATATTAGAACACTGCTATAACAAATAATTGTGTTAGTAGTTAAACATTGGTAAATAAACTGACGGCAAATTTAGAGAAAAAAGTAAAAGGAAATAAAAAATTTTCCACTTGCAATCATGGTACTCAAGGAAGTTTAAAGTTTGAACAACGGATGAACATCATGGCACATGGGTAGTAACCCATAAGAAGTCCATTCTACTGCTAACTCAAGTCTGAGTCCGAAGTACCTCAGCGCAGTGCATGGACTCCATAGCACCAGCCAGGATCCTGAAATATTTTGGGTAGATTTTTAACTCTAAATTTGGTTTGGGCAGTGCCGTTAGGCTATTCTTTTCGATTTTGAACTGCCAAGGGATTTTGTATGTGTGCAACAATACACACAAGCGTCCGATCTCACTACCCAGAGACCAGGGAAAATTACTAGCAGTCCACATGAAAAATCCCACCTAACCCGGGACCTCTAGCAAACGAGTTGGATACCATACCTACGCCTAACTTTGGATAAATATGATAAATATGCATTTTATTGAAATCTGATTCTCAAAGTCATAAATCTTATTGGTATGCATAAAGTCTGCCTTGAGGTCATATTGTTTTCAAATAGACACTTAGTAACTCTGTAAAGCTCACAAATGTAGTATATTTTATGCTTCTAACCATGTTTCTGAATAAACCTAAGGGTCAATGCATGTGTCATTAAACACAAAGAACAAGAAAGACCAGCCGGTTCACATTTTAAAACTAGCCAGTGGTAAATTAAATACGCGTCGCGTACTGATTGGGCCGCTGGGTAATAACCATTTAGGGAATGTGATGCATTGCTTAGGACTCAAAGAGTTAAAAGGTGCATTTGCAGACCAAAATAATATAATGTTTTGCAGTGTTCTTTACAAGTTTCCGTTAATCACATCAGATGTTTTCTGTTTAACCTGCAGCCATATTTGCCCTGTATTATTTGTACCCTTTTTGCCTCCCTTAAGTAACTCCCTCTGTTTATCTTCTTAGGAGAATGTACAGCAAATGCAATTTGCCAGAATGGTCAGTGTGAGTGTATTCAAGAATTCTATGCCAAAAATGGTACTTGTCAAAAACAAATCAGGTACATTATTATTTTAAACTATCATTGGCTGTTGTGATATTTTGTAGAAGTTTGTAATAGTTTAGTGACCTGGGTCATTGTAGAGGAGCAGTTTTTACTGTCACAGTCCAGAAACTCAGGCAATTTGGGACACCACAAACACACTTCCAGAATTTACTGGTAGGTTTATTAATGACCTCAACCCTTGAGTGCTGACTGGTCTAACAGAGTGTGGCTAGCACCATCTACCCCGGAAACCTCATGATGTGAAACAAAATATGCTTTACTTTCTTCTGCTGCTGCTGTTGTTTATTTTTCAATAGAATTTGGCTTTTACCAGAGTAGTTCCCCTAGGGTTCCAGAACCCCATTGGGGGGAGGAAGGGTTGGAAGGGGAGTAGGTTGGGATGAAAGGTGCAGATACCATCGCCATATTGTAAACCACTAAATAATGTGCCACTAGCCTTTCTAATGACAAACACTGAAGCAGCAGCAGAAGAAGAAGATGAAGAAGAAGAAGAAGAAGAAGAAGAAGAAGAAGCAGCAGCAGCAGCAGCAGCAGCAGCAGCAGCAGCAGCAGCAGCAGCAGCAGCAGCTTTGATGCTGATATAACAATGTACATAATATGGCTGTCAAAGTAAAATACACAAAATGATAAATAAACAAACAGGCACTGTACTGATTGACACTTATAGAAATAAGAAGGAATATAGAAGGACCCACTAGACAACATAAAAATATAAAGTTATAGTTACTGTGCTATAGTTACCCAGCACAGTAATTATAGCTTTCTCTACTTCTTTCTATGAGTGTCAATCAGTACATTGTTTGTTTGTTTATTATGTATAATGGTTCTACTGCCTCAAGGTTTCTCCCTCTGTTTCATCATTATCATAAATTTCCATTTCTGCCATTAAGCTTTGTGGGGGAGAGGGGGGGGGGGGGAGGAACAGGTTGCGATCTAATGCTTGTTGAGCAGCAATGGAAATATCATTCCATGTCGATATAGGAGCTCTTTAACTCTTTAAGGCCCAAGCAACAGTGTGAGAGTTGTTTAAGAAGTTCCATTTTGCCAAAAAAACGCTGTCATCGTCGATCATGTGTCCCGTACATTTTGCTTTGCACACGCCTCCGTACTAGTTTTTAATGTTCGGAGGTATGATTAAACTATTCAGGGAAAGTACTCTGCCGAAATCCTTTTAGTTTCATTTCCTAGCCTAAGAAACACGTACATAATTTAACAGAAATAATAGCAAAATTTTTTTCAACAGTTCATTTTCTAAGTTCGTTTTTGAGTGCCATGAATACAGATGTTCCAACACCAAGTACAGATTGCAAAATGCGGCTTTCTGCGGTCGAAGCTCTGAAATTGTTTCTGTCAGATGTTTTTAATTGTGATAATAATTATAAAAATTTTGATTTTTTGGAAAGTGATTCGGACGGGGAATTTTTACCAACGAAGCTGAGCGATCAGCTGTTCGGAATCTAGCGATTCTAACGAGTTTATTACACAGACAATTTTCCATACTACCGTATTTATGGTGTAAGAGAATGAAAGTGCTCTAAACAAATAGATTGTACTATACTATAGCTAAGCTACATTGAAATCATTGCAGCTACAGTCTGTAAATAACTGTACAAAGTAAATAGTAAATAGTGTGTGTAATGGCTCATTTTTCTACCATTTTTTCTCTGAAATTTTGCTTAGCGCTCTGTGAAAACTAAGAGCTCCTGAGTGCTAAACTAAACCAGAAACTTATCATAACTTTAGAATATGTTAGGAAGTTGACAAACATATACAGAGAGAAACTATTAGTCTAAAGACAAGTGTGATATTTTTACATGTCACTCCAAAGAATAACATCGTGTTTTTTTTGCCCATAAACATATATTTTAGAAATTGTTTTCGGGAATTTCCCTTGAATTCCAAATGCCAGAGCTAATGAAACTAAATTTCCACCATACAGAGCCAAGAAAGTTTGTGAAGGTGTTCCAGGTGAGTGTGTGACCAATGCCAGATGTGTGGGCGACACCTGCCAATGTGAGGACGGATACTTCCCCAAAGACGGTCTGTGCAGTGGACTCATCAATGCTACGCAGCCTTGCCAGGAGACCGTTGGAGGCTGTGTGGCAAATTCTGTCTGCACGTCTGCTGTGTGTACGTGCATTGATGGCTTTTATGCCAAGCAGGGACAGTGCAGTCCTGCAATATCTGCACAGGTGAGGACAGTATTATAAGTAAAGTCAGTAAAATAACGGTCCTCTCCACCATCGGCAGCCAGGTTACCCGTTGGCTTGCCGGTTGGCGACTTTGTTGCCGGTCGGGACAGTATTTGGGTCTGCCTCCTCTGATCGCATCAACACACATGAGTCCTTTTCAGGGCTCCTGATAGCATGCAATGTTAAGCCATTTTATCTGGCACACATAACCTAATCACAATTATAACCTAAAGCTCCTTCAGGGATGCTAGTTGAACACGATTTTTTTTTTTAAGCAAAGCACTGATGGCAACCAACAAACCTTTCAATGTCTTTTCGGCATCAGGCATGTGAAGCTGAACTTGTAGCCTTATAGATCTGTTTGCACTTAAGGGATGATGTTGTCAACATCAAGCTGGCCACCCTTATTTCCTATGACACTTCCTGACACCCATTTAAGGTTAGGTTAACCTGGGAGCCAAAGACAATTTTGGCAACATTTTTGCCATGGTACGTATTTAAATCTTGTACCTTCTGGATGACAGGCCAGCATTTAACCAGTATGCCACTGTGGCTCACAAGCGATGATATAGCTTGGTTATAATAGTTTGTTAATGGCTGTAGCAATACAGTAGCTAGCCTGTCAATCTTGGGGTGATAGGTTTAAACCCCCATAAAAGCAGATTTTTTAATAAGTAGTCTTGCGCTCTGAGGACAACCCTGCCTTAATTTGGAATCACGAAATGTTGTGGGAAATAAAGGAGGCTGGCATAATAATGACCACATAACAAAACAACTGCTTGGTCTCTGAAATATGGGACTAACACCAGAGGCCTAACTCCCATGAAGAAAAAAGGCTGATCAAACATGGTGCTGGGGTTCTGTCTGTCTCGAGGTACAAGATGTAGATAAGTGGCTTAATCAAACATGGTGCTGGGGTTCTGTCTGTCTCGGGGTACAAGATGTGGAGAAGTTGCTTGATTGGGTGCTGGGTTCTGTCTGTCTCTGCATACATACATTTTGTGTTATTGGGTACACTTATTTCTGGTCTACTGGTTTAAAAATCAGCAAAATAATATACAAACTTACCAATAAAGGCTCCTTCTCCCACAACAAATGTCTTAACTCTTTTAGTACCAGAAGAAAGTTTAATGCTGACGCGTTGAAGAAATATCAATAAATATAATTTATCCATGCATTACTTTCAAAACATTAGGATAACATTGAGTGGTGACCACTGGATAAACCAGATTTCTTGAATGTGCTCCAACCAAATTAAAAATTTTTTTAATTAAAAAATACGAAATTAGGGAGGGGATTCAGCAGATAGACTGGTTTACATGTCATGCGTTTTTGGTTATTTCAACAACAATATTTTGTTCACCCATCTGGATTATATTTGGGATATACAGCTGTTTTGTTTTCTATTTCAGTAATGTAAATTTATGTCTACAAATTATGTTAGGTTATGCAATATCCCTTAGCTTATGAATTATTTGTAAGATATTAGGGCTGCTTGTGGCCTAGCTCAGACAAGTTATCTTGATGTGTACCCAGAAACCAAACATAAGCACATAAACTGTTTGCTGGGACTTCAAAACTGACAGACTTGGAAATATTGATATTAGTTTCTTCGCCTTTCCTGATTTCATGCAGTTTCATCTTGATCAGTAACCTTAGTCGTTTATTTCCTAATTTATCTCTATCTTTTATTCAATGTTTTTAGTGGTTCTTCAACTTTTTTTTTTCAATCATTTGTTAGAAGTGAAAATACATGTTTCACTAATTTATTTCATTGATATTTGTTAATATTATGTTTCTTTTTGTTGTTGCAGAAACCGTGTGAAGGAGTAGCTGGCGAGTGTACCTTCAATGCTGTCTGCCGGAATAAAACTTGCACTTGTCTGGGTGACTTCTATGCAAAAGATGGAATTTGCAAGGAACTGATCAATGCAACAAGACCTTGTGAAAACATTCCTGGCGAATGTGTTGCCAGAGCAACTTGCATTAACACTGTTTGTAAATGTGGCCAGGGGTTTTACGCCAAGAATGGCCAGTGTGAGGTGAAGAAAAATTCCAGTGAAGAATGTCAAGGCATCAAAGATGAGTGTGTTGATCATGCTGTGTGTGATCTCACCAACACAAAAACCTGTTCTTGTGTAGACAACTTCTATGCCAAGTTTGGCAAATGTGAGGAAAGAATCAACGCAAATCATAGTTGTGAGGGCTTGCCCCATGAGTGTGTGGAGCACGCTGAGTGTGTATCCAGTAAATGTCAGTGCCTGCCAGGTCACTATAACCGATATGGTCTCTGTGTGGACCAGAAAAATTCCACTGAGCCTTGTGAAGATCTGCCAGGAGAATGTGTTTCTAATTCCTCTTGTGTCAGTGGTCAGTGTCTGTGTAACGGTGGCTATTATGCGGATCAAGGTCAGTGCAGCCCCAGAAAAAACACAACTGAACCATGTCTGGGTATCAAAGAAGAATGCGTGGATGATGCCTCATGTGAAGCAGGTCAGTGTGTCTGCAACACTGGCTTCTTTGATCGCTATGGTTTGTGTCGTCAGATTGGCAATGTCAGCTCAAATTGTGAGAATATTACAGGGGAATGCACTCTAAACTCAGAATGTAAACAAGGCTCTTGCCGATGCCTGAAAGGATTTTATGTGAAAGATGGATTGTGTCTGGCGGTAAAGGAAGTTGGAGAGGTATGCACAGGGGCTACCAATGGAGAATGTGTGCCAAATTCTCAATGCAAGGGAGGAGTCTGTGCTTGCAACCCTGACTTTTATATAAAATCTGGTCAGTGTCGTCAAGTCCTAAACACATCCAGTTCTTGTGAAGGCATTCCTGGTGAGTGCCCAACTAATGCTCTGTGTCTCTCTGGTGTATGCACCTGCAACACCTGGTATTTCAGCAAGGACGGTAAATGTATTCCTTTGACTAATACAAGCCAACCTTGCGAGAACTTACCTGGCGAGTGCGTGCCCAAAGCTCAGTGTGTCGGAAAAATTTGTCAGTGCCAAGATGGTTATTATGCTAAAGATGGACTATGCAATATTGTCATTCAGGTTTCAAAACCATGTGAATACATACCCCAAGAATGTGTCCAAAATGCTGAGTGTGATATTCAGTCACAGATTTGTCAATGTCTTCCTGGATTTTATAATGAAAGTGGCCAGTGTTTTGCTTTAAAGAATGTCAGTGATATCTGTAATAGTACCTGGCAGTGCAGAAATAATAGTCACTGCCAGGATGGATTGTGCCAATGTGACCAGGGTTTTTATGAAATGGACAGCATATGTTCTCCTTTAATCGGGCCTAAAGATCCTTGTTTGGCCACAAAACAATGCGTGAAATTTAGCTCATGTGAAAATGGTGCCTGCGCTTGTAACTATGGATATTTTGCCAAAGGGGATTCATGTCACGCTTGGAAGAACGTCACAGAAAAATGCAATGGTCTTGGTCAGTGTGTGCCAAATTCTGAGTGCCAGGTTTTCAGTGGAGGTAAGAAATGTCTTATAATGGTAATGGTGCAAAAATTCTATAAATACTCACAGAACATTATAAAAATATTGTTAGAATTCCAGTCAATTATTATATTACAAAGAGTGTCTTGGCAGATTCCATGTTTGTTCACATGGTGTTCACGTGTTTGTCTCAGCTTGTCTATCTGCTCATAAGCTTGTGTATTAGCCAGGTTAAGAAACCATACACTGAGATGCAACATATGCCAGTAGTAATGATCTCTTTCATATTCTGTCACTAACAAGTGTAACTTATATTTATGCATAGTCTTTGCACAGAAGTTACGATTATTTTATGGAATGCTTAAAAGTTTCTCATATTCCACAATTTAAATGTTTCAACAGCAGCAACAACAACAACAACAACAACAACAACAACAACAACAACAACAACAACAACAACAACAAAAACCATACACGCACGCACAGGGACACGCACACACATACATGAACATAATAAATTTCAGATCTGTGGTAATAAGAGGTTTGTCATCATCATCATCATCCTGATGTTTACCAAAGAGAAGCAGCAATCCAGTTGATTTTTTTGTTACCAGATACAAGGCGAAACATAGAAATTTGTCTGAGAATAAAGATCCAACTTGGTGAGGCATGCCTGACAGTCTGGCAAGTTCACTTGACATTCGGTTAAATGGAATTCAGATATTCTTCGTCTTCCGACATGCCTCTTTTGTCTTATCCTGCTTTTAATCTGTCAGACATCTTCCATCTGATGTTTTGATTACCCTCAAATATTTGAATTAGTGTGTTCTAGAAAATTCATATTCTCAGTCACAACAGAACCTATCAAGCAGGACTGCACAGTACTTGCTTCAGCTTGTTGTCCCAATGTGGGACGCAATTGTTCCTTGTTTTAAAGCCCCATCCTAACTGCAGTCGGAGGGCCCTAATGTAACCTAATGGTTGAACGGAATCTCTGGGACCTCTCCGCAGGTGATCCTCATCCGCATGGTGGCACTTTGTGTCACTGGGTGTTTATCACTTGGTGGATGTCCTGATGGGGTTGAATCTCAGTCAGAACCTCACATTTGTACACACACTAGTCAGAACCTCACATTTGTACACACACTAGTCAGAACCTCACATTTGTACATACACTAGTCAGAACCTCACATTTGTACACACACTAGTCAGAACCTCACATTTGTACACACACTAGTCAGAACCTCACATTTGTACACACACTAGTCAGAACCTCACATTTGTACACACACTAGTCAGAACCTCACATTTGTACATACACTAGTCAGAACCTCACATTTGTACATACACTAGTCAGAACCTCACATTTATACATACACTAGTCAGAACCTCACATTTGTACA